TATATATATATATCCACAAAAATTCTACCAGGAAACTCCTACAGCTGATAAATGATTTCAGTTTGTGGCAGGATGCATGATTAACTCAAAAACATCAGTATCCCTCCTATATACAAATGATAAACGGGCTGAGAAAGAAATCAGAGAAATATAGCCCTTTATAATAGCCACAAATAATATAAAATACATTTGGTTAACTCTAACTAAACAAGTGAATGACCTGTAGGATAAAATCTTTAAGGCTCTGAAGAAAGAAATTAGAGAAGATATCAGAAAATGGAAAGATCTCCCATTCTCATGGATAGGTAGGATTAACATAGTAAAAATGGGAATGTTACCAAAAGCAATCTATAGATTCAATGCAATCATGATCAAAATCCCAACACTGTTCTTCACAGACTTGGAAAGATCAATACTTAATTTTATATGGAAAAACAAAAAACCTATGATAGCTAAAAACAAATCCTGTATAATAAAGCAACCTCTGGAGTCATGATGATCCCTGACCTCAAAAACTACTATTGAGCTACAGTAATAAAAACAGTTTGGTACTGGCATAAAAACCAACATGTGGACCAGTGGAACTGAATTGAAGGCCATGACCTTAATCCACACACCTATGAACATATGATTTTCAAAAAAGAAGCCAAAATTGTACCATGGAAAAGAAGCATCTTCAATAAATGGTGCAGGCATAACTGGATGTCAACATGCAGAAGATTGCAAATAGTTCCATATCTGTCACCATGCACAAAACTCAAGTCCATGTGGATCAAAGATCTCTACATAAATCCAATTACACTGAACATGATAGATGAGATCATAGGAAGTAGTCTTGAATTCATTGGCACAGGAGACCTCTTCCTAAATATACCAGTAGCACAGACACTGAGAGCAACAATTAACAAGTGGGACATCCTGAAACTGAGAAGCTTTTGTAGAGCAAAGGACACGGTCAAGAAGACAATATGACAGCCTACAGAATGGGGAGAGATTTCACCAACCTCACATTTGACAGATGGCTGATCTCCATAATATATAAAGAACTCAAAAAGCTAGACTTTCAAAATACTGAACAATCCAATTAAAAAATGGCCTTTAGAGCTTAACAGAGAATTCTCAACAGAAGAACCTCAAATGGCTGAAAGGCATTTAAGTAACTGCTCAATATCCTTAGTTATCAGGGAAATGTAAATCAAAACAACTCTGAAATACCATCTTACACCTGATAGAATGGCTAAGTTAACAATACTGAAGACAGCTTATGTTGGAGAGGATGTGGAGAAAGGGGAATCTGTTGGTGGGAATGCAAAATTGAACAGCCACTCTGGATATCAGTATGGTGGTATCTCAGAAAATTGGGAATAAGTCCTCCTCAAGACCCAATTATACCACTCTTGGGCATATACCCAAGGAATGCTCAATCCTACCACAAGGACACATGTTCATATCAGCATTATTTTTAAAAGCCAGAACTTGGAAACAACCTAGATGCACCTCAACTGAAGAATGGATAAAGAAAATATGGCACCTAGGCACAATGGAGTACTACTCAGGAGTAAAAAACAATGATAACATGTTGCTGGAGGGCTTCTCTCAGGCTCCACCAAGCCCCGCAGACCCACAATCCATGTATAAAATAATCACTCAGACGTTTATATTACTTACAAACTGTATGGCCCTGGCAGGCTTCTTGCTAACTGTACTTATATCTTAAATTAACCCATTTCTATAAATGTATAACTTGCCACATGGCTGGTGGCTTACCAGATTCTTTACATGCTGCTTGTCCTGGCTGTGGCTGCAGTGTCTCCCCCCTCAGCCTTCTGCTTCCCAGAATTCTCCTCTCTCCTTCTCCCACCTACTTCCTGCCTGCTAGCTCAGTTGGTAGAGCATGAGACTCTTAATCTCAGTGTCGTGTGTTTGTGCCCCACATTGGGCACCATTTGTTGATGGAGAGCTTCTCTCCAGGCTCCACCAAGCCCTGCAGACCCACAATCCACTTATAAAATAATCACTCAGATGCTTATATCACTTATAAACTGTATGGCCATG